ACAATGCAGCACACACCTTCAATGTGATAACTCATCATTAAGAGTGATCCAGACTATCATATATTATTTTGTCTAATGGGGTGCTCACGCTTTTGGTATACTTACAAAGCATGCGTCCATATGGTTTTCATTGACAAATGTGTGTTAAACAGATTTTCCCTACTCTGCTGAGCTCACTGATAAAAATACCAGTTTAGAAATCAGAATCTGATATTCACAAACAAATTTGAATTAATGATATGTCGTATTTAATAATAATTACTGCAAACCGGCCTGGAAATCTGTTTCAGTTTTGAATAAAGACCTAATGCTCATAAGCACTAAGCTCTGTATATATTGAAGACAGACTGTTCTATTTCTGAATTAGGTTCTTCATCTACACATGCTCTCATGTGTTAGAAATTCCTCATACTCGAATGAAGTTAAAAGTGTGACCTATATAATTTTGAAGCTATTTGAGAAGGCATGAAGAAGCGTTGTGATCTAGAGAATTACCGTTTACTCAGCGCTAGTTCATTAACATTGTACACGGGTAAATCCGATGGATCCATAACAGCTTACTATGTATTGGTTAACAAGGTGTCTTCTATCGTTTGCGTGGTTCTAATTTAGGCTTACCTTTTGCTACTAAAAGTGGTCGTTTTTTCAACACTCGGTATATAGTTACCACGAACTTAAAACACAGCGGTGAAATAGTGGTATTATGGTTAGGTCTATTAGACGTATTGATAGCCTAGTAGATATAAGTACTGGGTAATTACCACGCTCCAGCACACCGCTCACTTCGGCACTCATGTCGCCATCTGAGATAAAACCTCTTTTTATGGTTGAGCATTGTAGGACATGCGATGTTGGGAAACAGATAGAGCATTTTATTTGTTTGACTCTATTTTCCAACAAACATAAAATCATTTTTTTTAAAGTTGGCACAACTCTAATGGTGCATTGAGATTTTGCGATTGCGACGCGTCGAGTATACGTTTCGGGTAGGGCGGTGTGATCTGTATCAGACGTATTGACAGTATCGGTGCTTGTATCAGTGTTCCGCAGACCATGGAGGGTCCCTCTCCACACTATACAGTCGCATACAGCCACGGCTTTACATCGGCTAACATACCTACCTAACTAGTGTCTAGAAAAATAGTGTTATTGGGCCTATTGTCTAATGTTGTTGTACTTAATGACAGTACATAAAGTTATAAGTGAACAACCAGGATACTTACTGTCCCAACACATTATCTTACATCATCACCTCCCACACCGTAGTACAGTTACTCATTCATTCAAACTCATGTTAGAACGTTGGACTTCTCCAAAATGTACACCATCATTCCTCATGCTCAACTCAAATAGGATTTTTTTTAAATATCAAACTGAAACTTTTGTTCGGTAATAATTGTTTTTGCATCGTTTCTTGTCGGTCTGTCTTGGTGTCCCCATGAAGATGATGCATGATACAAGACTACTAAGGACACTATGATATACCGATCCTTATTCCTCGAAGTAAATAGTTTGCCCTGTTAATACAGACTCTGTACCTAATTCCCTCCTGCACGACTCCTAAAACATAACAGTAGAGAGCTAGAAATGTTATCCATAGGCAAACTAAAACCTCCGGGGTGATAGCTGCCACCCACAATGCCTCATTTTCTCGATGTGATTTTAACTTTTGAAGGGTATCCGAAGTAAACTAATGCTGTAATTATTTGATGTCAATTCGTACTCCATTAAATTACGCTAATTGAATATGAAGGAAAGAGTCATTTTTTTGTAAGATAACTGTACAAATGAATAGAAGTTAAAAGGAATCGAACTTTAAATTAAAATTATTGTGAAGTTCACATCGTCAACTTCAAAATTTGTCATTTAGTTACTGCAGGATACTAATGGACATCTCAAAACGAAACTACGAAAAAATCTATTGTGTATTCGCAAATTATTAAGAAATTTACAATTTTGTACAATCTAGAAGATAGATAAGCACAACAGAGTGGGGAAGTATGTTTGGAAAGATCGTAGTAACGATGAACTGTTTCTTATTTAATATAGTATAGTATCTTTTTATATATTTGAAAATATAAGTAGTCTTATTTACATTTCTGTTTATGGATATGAAATTTCTTGTTTTTATTAGAGGGCGCATTTTTGTCATTTGGATATTTAAATTTGAAGAACTTTGAGGGAAAGAAACTAATGGTTACTGTCATTGTGGCATATTGGGTAACTGATTGTTATGAATATCCTCTTTGGATAACTTTGATCCTCAAAATTATATTCTTAATGAATTTGCGATGTCAGACAGGTAGGAGGAGGCGTATATATTTAATATTTATAAATATAAGTATATGTTGGCCGTCTACTTTGAATTTTTTCTCACCCAATGTCATCTTATATTTTGCATGTAATGTTCCCCTAAGTAGTACAGCTATTAGTTTCGCAGTTTCCAAAATTAATTTTAAACCGGTTTGGAGTTGCTGTGAGAGTGAGAAGTTAACCCATATAACACCCAAATAATATATTCAAATAGCGGCCTGATGGAGGAAGTTAATGTGATAAGAAATATTCTGTAAATTCTATCATTAAGTTTTTGGTAAGAAACAATGTATCATTAACATTGATGGAGGCTTCTTTTTCCTATTAACAGTTGCTTAGTTACTTAAAGCTACCAATATGTTAAGATATTATTGGCTACACACCGAATAGTGTTTCACACGATACTATAAAAAAGGACATAATTGTAGACATACGGAACAATTACACAAGTGATACATACACAGTTCACAGTTTAATATAGGTGGACATTATACCACCGGAACACACAAAGAACATCCCCTACAGATTAGATCAATTAGCACGTGTACAATAAAAGTTCGCGATACTGGCGTGGTACTTCTTCTCTTCATAATCAGAACGTTACACGGCCGTGGAAAATTCCTGAATTCCTTTTCCGTGAAAATTGTCATGTAGTCAGCACTTGTTTTGGCCTATCGACACGCAAATATGTCTGTTTATTGAACATTTTCGACAACAAATCATTTTAAAATATTATTGGAGTTTCCAATTCCCTTACCATGTTAGCAATAAAAGCTATTTGAGCTTTAAGTGCACCAATAAAGACGAAATATGCCAGCGATGTTGGCACAAGCGAGGTTTATGTGTCGGCGGCCAACTTCCAGGGGGGGGGGGGGGGGGGGGGGGGGGGGAGGGACGAGTGAGATGTCCGTAACGGTATCCGATCTCCTCAATACAATAAAGTAACATGCAATAAGATGTATTAGCGAACAGTAATCGGTATGTTCTAACGCGAAAATGGAAACAGAAATACGTAAGGTATCGATGCTGCCTCACAGGATAGAATTCGCTTGGCTAATACAGGGCTGAACTCAGTAGGGATACGATACAGCTAATTCAAAGGGAAAGTTTCGTAAATTTCATAGCTTACCTTTATTGGATATTCCATATCGAAATTATTGAGAAATTATTCAGCATGCGATTTGGGTATACCAAGTCATGCTTTGATATCATCAATTTAATGTTTATTCGTGTAATTATCAATGCAAGTTTCTAATCATTTACATAAAGCTAATCATCAACTATTTCTCGGCGAGATCCTCATTTAACCTAGGTTTACACTTCGTGGTAGGTTTCCTTCGTTAATGGAAATAGATGTAAATACATGAACAGCTTAGTCGTCATATATTTTACTCCCGTTTTTTTGTGACATTCCTGTTGTGGTTAAGTTGAATGTATCACCTGATACCTAAGGTTTCGTTAGTGTGTTTATTCTACTCTTATCTCTGTGGTATTAGTGGGCCATACTCTTCACATAATTGGGTATGAAAAAAAATTAAGTGAGTTTCAATATGAGCAAATTCTTGTCGCACGTGGATCATGTCCGTCAAGTTAGCTGAAATGATAATATAAATGCTTGTGTGGTTTTGTACCAGGTAAAATTGCCCATTCATTTAACACATTCAGCTAGATCAGGCGGAAAATATCCGATTAGTATGCAAAAAGAAATATCAGAAAGCCTTGCGTAATTTTAAGGGGGACATTGGCAGTTGTGTTAAGCATGGGTAGGAGTGTGAAGGGTCCATCTCACAGGTGTGTTGATAAAAAGCGTAAGTTGTTGATACACCCTTTAACGCTGTGACATCGGTACACAAAGCCGACTAATGCCTCGATGTATACCCCTAAGTAAGCCACCTCCTACCTTTCTATTCAATTTCCATTGCAAATATGAAGTGTACCTGGTCTTTTCAATCGACGTGTCGACATTCGCACCTGAGATTCAACAGGTGTTCATGTTTTGATCCTATATTGTGGGAAAGAAGAAATAGTATTATACCTATATACATCAGGTTGTAACTGGAACTCTCCGATTTGTGGTCAACAACAACAAACACAATACCCATGGAAGGTGGCTTACATGTACATAAACACATTATTTTAACTATTAGTTTTAGGAGTTATACACACATATCTGATTCTAAGCAATTGTTTCCTTTAAGAATTGAAATCATTTTGAATCAAGGTGTTGATCTCCAGATTCGTTTAGACCGTGGTCAGTGGAATGGTTTGCTTACGTTTGTGGGTAGGATGCAACGGCACTAGCACAAGGCCGTGACTATCCGGTACTTAGTAAACAATCACTTTGTAAACAAGCTATATTATCAATGAAACCTGTTAAATTGAATGTCCGGTGATTGTAGTTACACAGCTTTGTCATGATCCTCATCATAGTAGCTTGTTCATAGTGAAGGTCGAGACAAAGCAGTCTTATAGTGTGTTCTCCATCACATGGAGAAATCATATGACTTGATTCAAAATCATATCTGAATTGTTCAAATCAATGTAATATTTGGTTTTGTTTGATCTCTGGTCAGAATGTATTGAAATCAGCAACGGACACAAATCATAAAGAAATGTAATGAAAACAAACCAAAAATCACATGATCTTGTAACTGTTATCTTAACTCTTCTTTCTATTTTTATTTCAGAATGGCGCCAACAGATGCATTTCTACTATAACGTATCGTACCTATCAGAGGGAGAGAAATTATTAGCCGCTGAATTCCATATATTTAAATTAAACCCTAGACCATCATCAGAAGGGGAACAGATGCCCTCTCATGTGATTGAGGTGCGTAAACAACTAAATACATAGTTCCGTCAATGTTGGGCAACACCAGCGCAACGATGACGTCACTAAAATCTTTCCATAAACAATGATGCGCTATATATCACTAACATTGTGTCCTGTATGTCGGTTTAGGAATGAATCTGCACTCGATGGTCCCCTGAATGCTACTTGACGATAAAAACTGATTTTAACATGAAATCTCCCTACAATCACTCTTTTGATGTTAGGTAATTAACATGTGATCAGATAGAAGCAATTATAATCCTAGATAATGGATGATAGGATTGCCCTATAGATGTAGCTTACACACAAACAATATCATTTACTCTATAATAGTTTATGTCGACATAAAAAAAAACACAGCAACACTAACTATTTGTAGCACTAACAAGTTATAACTGCTTATGAAAAGTATTAAAGAGGCTTGTTGTGTATTTGAGTTGTATGTCTGTGTACGCTGTCGTGTGTTTAGTGTGTCGACTGATAGTCATCACTAGCGATTTTATCACACTTCACATAATTCATTATTAAGTATGGCAGCATGTCAGTCTGGTTCCAATTCCTCAAAACGCGTCGTCTCAAATAAACTCAAAACAATATGTTTCTCTAGATCCCTTCTTTAACAGCGATTTAATGTATCATTCTGGGCTTGTCCCTGCAAGGAATTTCAGGATGTCATTAATGTCTTTAAAAAGAGTTTTTTTTATAAAAGACCCTGAACTATGTTGATAACAAGCAATTTTGAACGGAATCAATTTTAAAGATTACATACTCCTGAATTAACATTGCAATAATAACTGCATGTTTATTATGAAGTTCATAAACATTTCACGATATCTGGAAATTATTAACAACTATAGATAAATTGTGAACCGTTATATCATAGTCAATACAAAGCTGAAATTTAAAACATAGATGTTAAAGTCGTTGTTACGTACCTGGATGGTAAAACATTATTTTACTGATAGCCAATATTAGGTGACTTTAGCAAGTCACAACGACGGCAATGATTTTTGTTATATATTCTTACTACATATTGCAATGGTCTTTTGTATTGCAGATTAAGGTATACCAAGTGTTGGACCCAGAAAATATTAATTCCCCACATGGATTAAAATTGTTGGATGCTAAACGGACTAGTGCACATCTTCACGGATGGTTTGTGTTCCAAGTAAAACATGCGGTCAATGAATGGATTAACGGATCGGCTGTAAATTATGGTGAGTTCCAAGTCTGTGCTACTGCAAACAGATTACACTGAGTGCTATAGGGATGTCCAAGTCTGTGCTCCTGCAAACAGATTACACTGAGTTCTATAGGGATGACCAAGTCTGTGCTACTGCAAACATATTTCACGGAGTCCTATAGGGATGTCCGAGTCTGTGCTAATGCAAACAGATTACACTGAGTTCTATAGGGATGACCAAGTCTCTGCTACTGCAAACAGATTTCACTGAGTCCTATAGTGATGTCCGAGTCTGTGCTACTGCAAACAGATTCCACTGAGTTCTATAGGGATGACCAAGTCTGTGCTACTGCAAACAGATTTCACTGAGTCCTATAGGGATGTCCGAGTCTGTGCTACTGCAAACAGATTACACTGAGTTCTATAGGGATGTCCAAGTTTGTGCTACTGCAAACAGATTACACTGAGATCTATAGGGATGACCAAGTCTGTGCTACTGAAAACAGATTACACTGAGTTATATAGGGAGGTCCAAGTCTGTGCTACTGCAAACAGATAACACTGAGTTCTATATAGGGATGACCAAGTCTGTGCCACTGCAATCAGATTACACTGAGTTCTATAGGGATGTCCAAGTCTGTTCTACTGCAAACAGATTGCACTGAGTTCTATAGGGATGTCCAAGTCTGTTCTACTGCAAACAGATTGCACTGAGTTCTATAGGGATGTCCAAGTCTGTTCTACTGCAAACAGATTGCACTGAGTTCTATAGGGATGTCCAAGTCTGTTCTACTGCAAACAGATTGCACTGAGTTCTATAGGGATGTCCAAGTCTGTTCTACTGCAAACAGGTTACACTGAGTTCTACAGGGATGACCAAGTCTGTGCTACTGCAAACATATTACACTGAGTTCTATAGGGATGTCCAAGTCTGTTCTACTGCAAACAGGTTACACTGAGTTCTACAGGGATGACCAAGTCTGTGCTACTGCAAACATATTACACTGAGTTCTATAGGGATGTCCAAGTCTGTTCTACTGCAAACAGATTGCACTGAGTTCTATAGGGATGTCCAAGTCTGTTCTACTGCAAACAGGTTACACTGAGTTCTATAGGGATGACCAAGTCTGCGCTACTGCAAACAGATTACACTGAGTTATATAGGGAGGTCCAAGTCTGTGCTACTGCAACTAGATTACACTGAGTTCTATAGGGATGTCCAAGTTTGTGCTACTGCAAACAGATCACACTGAGTTCTATAGGGATGACCAAGTCTATGCTACTGCAAACAGATTACACTGAGTGCTATAGGGATTTCCAAGTATGTGCTACTGCAAACAGATTACACTGAGTGCTATAGGGATTTCCAAGTCTGTGCTACTGCAAACAGATTACGCTGAGTTCTATATAGGGATGACCAAGTCTGTGCTACTGAAAACAGATTACACTGAGTTATATAGGGATGACCAAGCCTGTGCTACTGCAAACAGATTACACTGAGATCTATAGGGATGACCAAGTCTGTGCTACTGCAAACATATTTCACGGAGTCCTATAGGGATGTCCGAGTCTGTGCTAATGCAAACAGATTACACTGAGTTCTATAGTGATGACCAAGTCTGTGCTACTGCAAACATATTACACTGAGTTCTATAGGGATGTCCAAGTCTGTTCTACTGCAAACAGATTTCACTGAGTCCTATAGGGATGTCCGAGTCTGTGCTAATGCAAACAGATTACACTGAGTTCTATAGGCATGACCAAGTCTGTGCTACTGCGAACAGATTACACTGAGTTCTATGGGGATGACCAAGTCTGTGCTACTGCAAACATATTACACTGAGTTCTATAGGGATGTCCAAGTTTGTGCTACTGCAAACAGATCACACTGAGTTCTATAGGGATGACCAAGTCTATGCTACTGCAAACAGATTACACTGAGTGCTATAGGGATTTCCAAGTATGTGCTACTGCAAACAGATTACACTGAGATCTATAGGGATGACCAAGTCTGTGCTACTGAAAACAGATTACACTGAGTTATATAGGGATGTCCAAGTCTGTGCTGCTGCAAACAGATTTCACTGAGTCCTATAGGGATGTCCGAGTCTGTGCTAATGCAAACAGATTACACTGAGTTCTATAGGGATGTCCAAGTCTGTGTTACTGCAAACAGATTACACTGCATTCCTTACTGTATCAAAGACATATATCAAATCTGAAATATTTACTCACAATCTGTATCAGAAGCTGACGTGAATAACAGTGCATGCTAATCGTATTTAAACCATGAGTGGACCATTTGTTTTGTAAATAAGATTCTATTTCAAGACTACCACACTAACGGGCTCCATTTAGGGAGAATATCGACACATATTTTTTTTCTAGTAATTGAGTTACTTATGTATAAGATTGAGATCGTGAACCGGTCCCGAGCCGTACATGTGGGTACACGATTCCTGTAAGGAGCTCCGTGTGTTATTCGTTACTACTTGATTAAAGATTAAGTACCAAGAAAATGAATGATATTAAAACATAGAGTTATCTTTCACCGGAAATCTTTGAACGGAAGTTGTGTAATTGGTCGCTATGGTACGGTTCATGGTTTCTATGCGCATGGGTGAAAACCCAACCTGCACATCGATGGGCGGAGAGTGGGGACTGGTTAACGTACCAAGCGAACAGAGATTAGTCGGTCTACAGCAGAAAATTGTCAGATTAAAACATAGCAAGAATAAATTGTTTTTGGAACCAAACACACTTCATCTAAATGCGTTACGGGAACCGTGGGGCTAGTGCCGTGCTAGTGTTAAAACGTGTCAGATAAGTAGGAGGTAACCTCTAACCTAGAGACGTGCCGCAAAATGACGCCAAATCGTAAACACGATACTCTCCCTCAACAAAATAGATATATGACTGCATTGACACTATTAATACGATTACCGATTTAATGAAAATCAAAACAAAAGTCAGCCCATCAATATAGTTTTACGAACGACATGAATGTATGGGTTTTACTGATCAAACTTTGCTGTACCAATCTCCGGCAAACGGTAGTTGGACTAAAGACAGTGATACAGCGTATCCTAATGGAATTCGATTTACATATTAACTTCTTCTTTATTGAAGTGTATTGTAGGTTCTCATAAACGCCATTAGTTGGAATGTAATGCATGCATTTTTACTGGTGGTGCAATAGCTTTGCGCAGCATAAATACTCCACCTTATGGACCTTGTAGAAGGCTGGGCAGTCCCCCTCGGAGTGCCGTCACACACCTGGGAGAGCCAAACCTGGTCCTCATTGTGCCTAAATTGTTTATAGAAAAATAATTTCAAGTGGATTTGATTCTGCCAAAGTAATGCAGTTTCATCTTAAACGCATGCTTTATAATAAGAACGACGAAGCCTTTCGCTGGTTTGAATTTTAAGAAGTGCTTGCTTTTGTGTACATAGGGAACCCACTGTGCTACTTGACAAATTGACATTTCGACAATGCACGGGACAAGGCTTTTGACAAAATACCGGTTTAGAAGCCTGATTCCATGGAAGTTTAATTAACTAAAATGACAAATGTGTGAGACTGAAGCGTTGTTGAGGTGTTCAGGGGTTACACAATGAAAGTCAGGGGAGGCTCGCACACCTGACAAGGAACCGTACACCTGGGGGTGGGGGATCATTTCCTTGACACTACACCAAACTCGGCGAGGTTCTTGTGTATCTGTATAGACATTATCGTTGTGTTAGTAGTGTCTGATTGACTATACACATATCAGGATAATATTAGTTAATCCCTTTTATAAATAAAATAATACGTTTTCGCATATTTCACCGGTTATAATAAAAAATATATAATTTTTGAAAATGTTTGAATCCAATATCATTTTAAATACATTCATGCCTGTATAAGTATATCTGATTTTGGTAATTGACTTAGAAAGCTGGATGGATACATTACTTAAATGTTTTAAAAAGAGTGTTCTACAATTTACATATTTTAAAAAACGGAGAATAATATGTATCAAGATTGATATGATATCGGTCCATTTTGAGGACTTTGTACCTAACATTTTATGTTTTAATATGTTTTCCAAATGATGCTTATAAGCAGTTTAAATCCCTGTTTGATATGATTTCAACTTTTTTATTGCCTGTATTGATTAGCAGTGGGACTGGACACATGAATATATTGCCGACGAAGGGGCTTTTTTCTAATTTAAGTCAACTCCCATTATATGAACAGATCATTATGGATGATTTATAATATATCATAGCCTATGTATCATAATCTATGTATCATAAATAAGCATGACAGGGGCGTGATAATAGCTATACAAATATATTTATAAACCACCCTTATTAAGCAAACAGTGCATTATGAAAGAATGACTGCAGGATTTCATAAATAAAGCATTAAATGATTTCCTGCTTTTAAATGTAAATAGGATTTTTTAATAAGAGTACCTAGAATTGGTATTACCGCGTTTTTTGTTACGTGTATTTGTAACGTTAATCCAGGGGAGGGGCCAACACTATAACAATAGAGATGTGTTACCGCGGTTTTTGTTATTTGTTAACGTTAATCTAGGGGAGGGGAGGGGCCAACACTATAACAATAGAGATGTGTTACTACGGTTTTTGTTATTTGTTAACGTTAATCTAGGGGAGGGGAGGGGCCAACACTATAACAATAGAGATGTGTTACTACGGTTTTTGTTATTTGTTAACGTTAATCTAGGGGAGGGGAGGGGCCAACACTATAACAATAGAGATGTGTTACTACGGTTTTTGTTATTTGTTAACGTTAATC